CTGACCCGCCCGCTGCTCCCCTCAGCAGTGTACTTCGTCGATCTGCCTGTTCTGCTCCCCACTCTGTCTCTGGTGAAGCCTCTCGCTGCCCCTGAGGCTCTGGCCTGTATCCCAGCTCTGTATGCACAAATAAAAAAAAAAAAACATTTTTCAATATCTCATTAAGCATTATGTCTGTTACAGATATTTTATAGATTCCTTTTATCAGGTTGAGAAAGTCCCCCTTTTTTGATTGCTTATGTGTGTGTCACAAATAGGTATTGAATATAGTAAATTGCTTTTCCAGAATCTTTTGAAATTAGTCTATGATTTTTCTTCTTTATTCTATCAATAGAGTGAATTAAATTGACTAGTTTTCAACTGTTGACTAACCTTGCTTGGCTAAGGTAAACCCTCCTTGATCATAATGTACGTTGCTGTATTCTATTTGTTAATATTTTTAAGAATTTTTGCATCTATTGGTTTGCAATTTTATTTATTTTTCATTGTTTCTTTCCTTTCTTTTAAAAAATAATGTCTTCATCAGAATTTGATATTAGGATCATACAAGTCACTTATACATACATGTGAAGTGTTTTAAGATTAAAACTGTCTTCCTTTTATTTCTGGTACAGCTTATTAGTGAAGCAATTACTTTATTATTTCATATTACTTTATTGGTAAGAAGTTCAATGATAATTAACTTTTAATTCATTTTTCCCATTAGATAAATGTTGAGTCAGATTTTCTTTGATCATGTGTTAACTCAAATAAATGTTTCACCTAAACTGTCAAGTTTTTTGGATGAAATTTTTATTATTGCTCTCTATTTTCCTTGGTAGGCTCATTTTATTTCTGATCTTGCCAAATTTTTCACTTTCATTTTTGTAGGTGATTACTGTTTCATCTTTTCAAATAAAAAATTGATTGTTAGTTTATATTTTATTTATTTCTTCTCTTATCTTTATTATTTCCTTCTTTCTAATTGGTTTTGTCTTGTTTTGCTTTTCTCTTTCTAAATTTTTAAGGTGATACCTTAGGTTATTGAATTTTAATTCTTTTTTCTTTATTTTGTCTTTTCATTTCATAGAGGTCAGATTCTTTTCTGATTTTCCATGTGATTTTTTTCCTTGATCTATCAAAGAACTGAAAACGTCTTATTTAACTTCTAATTACTTATCACTCTCTAGGCTTCTTATTGCTATAGTTTTCTAGTTTCTCTGTTGTAGTCAGAGAATATAATCAGTGTATTTTCATTCTTATATAAAGATTGTTTCATAACCTAGCATAGGGTTTATCTTGGTAGATATGTAATCTTACTTGGTAGAATGTCCATTGTACTTAAACAGGGTATAGTGTCATCTTTGTGCTTACTGGTATTGTGATTGTTTTTCTACTAATTATATAGATAAGGGCATTGAAATCTCAAGCTAGGAGTGCAAATCTTCCTCTAAAGCTGTAAGTTGTTGCTATCTCATGTGGAACCAGCTGTGGCCTACCCTCAAGCTAAATGCTAAAATAACACCAAATCCACCAGCCTTTCAAATGTCTTTGAAACGTCAGTTCCCTTCTAGAATCTACATGCTTTTGTATGTTCTCTAGTTCCCAATATAAAGTTGCTTTCTATAAAATGGTTGCTCAGGAGATGTTTACTCAACCATACCATCAAATGGTTCTTTAAAAATATTTTACCAGTGATTCTAGGTATTTTTTTTTTTTGGTGAAAAGATTGGAATATTATAATATAGCCTTCCAAATCCAGAATTTTACATCTTCAGTACATACATTCTTGAAATATACTTTATATCACAAGAAGTAAAATTGACCAAACAAAAAGAAAAAAGAAAACACAACCATTAAAGTTGAAGTTTCTATCTACATACCACTAAAAATAATATTAATAGATTACCAGTGCAAATGTTAGACCTTGTGAAAAGATCATACATGCTTGTTAAAGTGATTACTGATATATGATAGCTCAAGTTCAGAGGGACCTCAGCTCTTTAACCACCCCTCCAAATCTGAAACCCCTTCGCAACATTGTCTCAAGTTTGTCTTATGCCCATTCATCCAACCATAAATGAACAACTTACTAGTGAGGGGTAATAGGTTCTATTCTTGGAAATTCTATATGTGAAAATCATCAACCTTCTCTTGCCTTGAAATCTGTTCCTTGTGAATTCCACTAATTGATCTTAGACCTACCCATTGATTCTTATTGAGTATAAATGTTTCATTTACACCATCTAGATAAGTCTTTTTAACTCCTTTTTATTGGATATTCCTAGGTTCCTCAGATCTATGTTAATGACAGATACTGTCATCAGTCCCTTTACTTAGCTCTTTGAGTTAGAAGGTAAATTTGAGAGTGAAGAATTTGACCATAGGTTTTGATGATAGCTTACTGCAAGAAAAAAAAAAATTGATTAAAAATTCTACAAAAAAAAAAAAAAACCCACCTCATTCCTTTAGCAAAATAAAACCTTTTCTTTCTTTCTTTCTTTTTTTTTTTTTTTTGCAGCCTTTAATACAAAAACATATTTGAAAAAAACAACAAAAAAACAAGAACATAGAAAAAAGATTCATCCGAGGGGGAAGGGGATTTTTTTTTAAGTTATCTATAGGACTATAACTATAAAGGTGGTTCATCTAATTAATCCTAAGATTCATAGGAACAGCTCTGTGTCATCAAAAATAATAAAGCATCCATTTTTCTTTTAAAAGAGTCCTTTAACTTGTCCCTTGCTCTATTCTTCTTCACTCTTTTCCAGTTCCTACTGAAACCTTCCCTTCCGCATGTTAAGGTAATTTTCTCTTGTTTTGCCAGTTGTGCACAATGGGAACAAAATAAAGGAAATGAAATATTAAAATGAGTTGAAGTAACAAAATAGAGACAAGAAGAAAAGCTTGCATAGGAATTTGAGAGAGATGGAGCAACATTTCCAGAAGGAAGCAGGAGACGTGTCTATGTCCTGGGGGTTGTACAGATGGACAGATGAAGAACAGCTTCCTGGGACTCCTGAGTTTGGGCTCTGCATTCTTCACTGACAGCTCTCATTCTCTGTGTCATCTCTGGTGGGTCCCCTCATTCTCTTGGGTCTTAATAACCTCCCCTGTGAAATAAGGCATTTGACTAGAGAAATCTCAAGCACCTTCCAACTCAGAAAGAACACAGGTCATTCATTCATTGATTCTCTTTGCAGCCAATGTCTTGTTTTCCAATTGGAGATCTGGAGTGTGGACCAGTGATTCATGTTATGAATCTCCTGCCAACTATGATTCCATTCTCATCTTAACTGTAAACTCCCTGTAAACTCTGGCAAAAGTATATCATTTTTGGTTTATTAATTTCTATGTATAGAAGGCTGACTACTTCCAACGTATTTGTGTACCTCTTTTATTTACTTTATTTTTAAGATTTCCATGAAGTCCATTGGGGGAGATCAATACAGGTGGAAAGATCATCACTGTCATCATTTGCAAAGTTATTCTTTCTATTTGCTCCAAAGAAGCTAATTTCTAATGTTTGGACTCACTGTTGAAGTCTTTGGCAAAAGACCTTCAAGCAGTGGGAGGACTAGTGGAGATCTGTTGTCCTTGTTTGGAGAAGTTGGATGTGGTGGAATAGTGAAATGAAATTCTGATGCTTCATGATGGCATTATCTTGGCAGTAGCTCCGAGGGTCAAAACTCATTCACAGGCAGGTTCTGGGTGCTGGCTTGCCTGCTAAATCTGAGATCTACAAGGAATTTAAGTCTATGCCTATGCTAAAGGAGTGGCCATTTGTGTGAGTTCTTTTGTGACTAGCTGGGATTCAAATGAAACATGTAACAAAGCATCAATGGTCCATAATGTTCTAATTCGACATTCTATGGTTTCTAAATGGGCATGTACAGACTTATATTTATTAGAGACCAAAGATTCTGTGCTTTCCTCTATATTTTGATGCTGTAATATTAATAGTTTGATTAGAGACCTTTTAATCTTTGGAGCAAAACCAGTGACCTGTATCCTGGGAAGAATTTCTAAGTTACCTGGCTTTGCTCAGCATTGGCCTGTCTGATTGTGGGTGTTCTTTTTTTGCAAGACTAGGTAGTTATAGAGATTGTGCCCTGACAAAGGACCCAGTTGAGGAGGCAGGTGGAATCTGAAGTCAATCCTTCCAGTACAACCACGTCACTGTTCTGGTGTAAGCTCCATTTACATAGAAGGACTCTCACCTAGAAAACCACAGAAAAAGTCCTTGATTAACTGACTCCAATTCTACTCCTTCCCCCATTTCCTACCTTCTCTCTAGGACAACCTCAGCCACTGGTATTAGCCCTGGACTAGAGACAAGGGAGCTGGCTTATTCCTGAACTCCTCCAAGCTGTCACAGGCAAGTGGTTTGTGCCCTTGTTTGCCTGTTTCTATGAAATTTCTCCTACTCAAGATTGACTGGTGTAGAATTGAGGTTTTAAACCTCTGTTTTGCCATTTTTGCTACCTAAGAATCCTCAGGAAAATATTTTAAACTCTGAATGCTATAAATTTTTAAATCTGCAAAATGGAGCGAGTAATTGTACCTACCATTTAGTTTTTCGAAAAACTCAAAGTCTTATATGTTTACATATACATGAACAGTACATACAACAGTACCTGGCAGCTAACATTATTAACAGTATCTTGTACTCTGGAGAAATTGAATAAACATGTTCTATTGTGATGATGATGATGATCTGTAAAGTTCCCACCTCCTGACATTCCTTCCTATACTGGTATCTATGGTACTAGGTAAACCCAGCTTGTATTCTCTGGTGCTTGAGCCTTGGTTACATCTGAAGGGGGTGTGAGGACATCAGCTCTCAGGACAGAAACAGGGCAGAGCGTCCTGTGTTTTGACTAGTAATTATAGCCTGCATCAGATGGGCTCATTGCATGGATGTGTCTGATTATGTTTGTGTGCATTGGGTAAGCATACTTGAACTTGAACTCTATTATCCTTGGCCCACAAGAACTGTTAACATTGCTTTTGAGTGTTTTGTGGAAACTCTGGGTACAGGGTATTTAAAATAAGACTCCGTGATTTATTCTTTCCTTGGTTTTGTCTAGACTGCTGGAGTGGAGAGAAGAATGTTTCCAAAGAGACCTGGATAGCAGGATGAACTTGCTCCCCACCAGAGCCCATCCTCTCTGTACCTGCACGGTGAGTGCTAAGGATAGGCCTTGGGGGTAGGAGGATGGGTCACCTTTGCCAAGTGACCTCCCACCAGCCTGAATTCTGAGACATGTAGAGGGTGAGTGACCTAGGGCACTTTATCGCAGGTCATCATCATCATCACGCATCTGGTTGGACCAGATGAGGCTCCTGGTTGGGAGTAGGGATTTGGAGTATTGTCCTACTAGCTATATGGGAAGGTTCCATCTTTGGGCTGCTGTATATTTGCTTCCCAGCTCTCCTTGTCCCTTTCTCTCCAGTGAAGGCAGGAAATGAAAGATAGGGTCTCAGAAGACTTATTTCAGCCCGAATCCCACCCCAAGTCCCTGACCAGAGGTCAATCCTTAAAATGAGTTCAGTACCAAGTGGAAGAAACTGTGTGATGGAAACAGCACTGGATCCTCATCAGTTTTGTCACCGTGAACCTGCATCTTGTGTCCATGGGAAGTGCAAAGGGCAGGCTTCACGCTTCCATGACTGCCTTGGGATAGCAGATGGCTCTTTTCAGCCTTGGTTTTCAGCAGGGAAACTCACCGCGCTTTGCACAGAGAAGTCACAGGTGTGGCTTGTAACTAGTGGAGTTTCCACTCACAAACATCACTCTGAGGCTACTATGGGTGGAAGAGAGAAGATACTCCCCTCTCAACTGGATCCACATTCATGTTTATTTTTTAGCCCAGTTATACACACAGTGAGACTGAGTCCCCTGCACACATGGTCCAACCAAGGAACAAAAAGGTACAGTGACTCCCCAGCTCCCAAAGTAGTGATAAGTAGTGATCCCCCTCCCACCTCCTAGGATTGCTCTGCCTCTCAGGGTTCCTCAAGGTTCTTTTTTTTTTTTAAGATTTATTTATTTATGCATACAGAACTGGGGTACAGGCCAGAGGTGCGGGGGCGGTGAGAGGCTTCACCAGAGACAGAGTGGGGAGCAGAACAGGCAGATTGATGAAGTATACTGCCAAGGGGAGCAGCAGATGAGACAGGAGAGGTCTGCTGCACCTTGTGGGTCACCGCCAGGACCGGGATCCTGGAGAAAAGTTTAGACAAACCAAACTCACACTGAAGCATCTGCAGCCAGCTTGCAGTGCTGTGTCCTAACCAGTTGAGCCACCAGGGAGGGCCTATTCAAGGGTCTTAAGGCATAAACTCCAGTGAGGCTCCACCTACAGCCATCATGTCTTCCAGAGCATTTGCTTGTTCTTATTATCCAGACCCTTCCATGGGGCTGGGTGGTTAGAAACCAGAGGATGGAACCCAGGCTTCTGAGGCTGCTCGATCTGCTTCAAGGATCTCACTGTCTATAAAATCAAAAGCATCTTCGTATTTTGAATCATCGAATTGACTCTGGTTTTCACTTTCATCTCAACATTTGGTGAGGTCTAAATACAACTGTAGAGGGCCAGAGAAACAGCTGGAGGGAAATGAACAGCTCAGCGGATAAACGGAAGGGCCTCTTTACATTGGTCAATCCAAATCTGAAATGTGAAACCTGAACACATGTGAGGAGAGGAATGGTCTATTGAGTATTTTATGGTCGGAAGATGGAATCAATGGCGAGCCATATCTTTGTCACATCCAGATAGTAAAACTTTATGAGTTCTTCCCCATGAAATATTTTGTTTATGTCACATGAGTCTAACCTATTTTTTTTCCTTTTTCTTTACTTCCCCTACCCTCTTTGTCTCCAGAGGCCTATTCCCCTTGGAAATGCATTAGTTACCTAGGAAACCTTAATGTCATTTTTTAAAATGAGTTTGGTGCAGCATAAAGTCAATTTATAGGGTGGTTAGGAATTCATGTCATGACTGGTGAAATAGGAGACTTTATTATGATTTCTATATCCACCTGTGTGGTAGGAATACACACCTTTGCTCTATCATTATGGGTAATTTCTTGAAACACAATTAAGAATATGTATGCTATTTCACAAAATGAGTTGATTCATTGCTGTTCACTGTAAGTCGTTATATTGTTCAATGTAAGCTCTAGAACATAATTAGCAATAACAACAAACCAATAATGTCAGGCAATCTGTTAAGAGTTGAAGGATATGGTGGAATTTCCTTTTAAATGATGAGGTGGTTCTGCCTTTGAGGCAAAGAATGAGTAAGAGATTTTGAAACCTTTCCACTCTGTCTTTCATGCTCTTCAAGGTCCACATTAAGAAGCTATATAAATTCTAAATATGTTCACTACTTTATTCTGCTCATTTCTTTTTGTCTTTTTCCAAGGGGGGGATATATGCCCATAAGGTCATATTAATGAAATATTCAAGGATGGCTTGCAAATAACAAAGAGGGTCAAACCTAGAGTCAAACCTCTTGAGAAGGCTGAGCCCCCCAACTTTGAGAGGGAAGTGTTTTAGAGGTTAGACTATGAGGTTGAGAGTTATTGCTCACTTTACACCAGGCGCCGTGGGGAGCATTTTTAGTTAATGAGTTAATTTGGTCCTCATCATATTCCTCTGAGATTGATATTATTTCTACCAATGATAAAAGGTCTCCAAAATTAAGGCTCCTGTCCAAAGACACAGAACTAGTAGGTAAAGCAGGCAGCACAGAATGTAGGTTTATATGACTTCAAAATCCACCCTTTCTTTTTTAAAGATTTTTTTATATTAGTTTTTTTTTTTTTTTACATATTTTTGTGCATTTTTCCACCTCAGTTGCAACCCCCTTGGGTTTCCCGTCACCAAATCACCCATCAAAATCCACCCTTTGATGGAATCTTTCAATGGTTGTTGATGTTACTACTTTTTTTTTTCCAGGTTCCCTGGAGAGACTGGACCTTCAGCTTCCTCAAATGTGAAAGTCAAGATAAAAATGCAAACTAATGTGGGTAGAACTTGATCTCTAGCGTCTTGCATCCTGTTTAGGGAACATGCCTATAGAGAGCAAAGCAGAGCTTTCTCAAGAAGATAGGGAAGCACTCAGCTTCTGTGCTCAACTGCACCAACTTTGGGGGGAAAAAATCTCCCACATCAAACTCTTGGGGCGTTGGGGAGGAGTTGGAACTGACATGCTGCCTGTGTGTGGAACTTAGTTAACAATACTGCAGTTAGCAAAGTGTAGTCACAGTTGAGCAGCCAGAAAGCTTCTGAGTGCCAGCAGTCAAGGTAGCCTTTCCTGACCCCTATGCAAACATCTTTTGCACCACTTTGTTTCTAAAACACAGACTGTGTCTGGGAGAAGAGGTAGGGATGGATGGGGCGAGGCAGAAGAAATTAGCTGCAGCCCTCATTAACTCCTCCACAGTGCCCCCAGCAGCTGAAGAAGCAACTTGCAGATATTTTAGGATCAGCTCAGGTGTGGTGGGGGGAGAGGTCAGTGGATCTCAAAGGTAGGAAAAAGAAAAGTGCCCAGCAAGGACGGACATTCAAGGCTAGCTAGGTGGTCATGTGGAAAACAAACAAGCTTGTTTTGGCCACATGTGGCCCCAGAGGAAAAGGGTCCTGGGAGAGCATTTGGTCCAATTCTCTCATTTCCTGGGTCAACACTTCACAATGCATTAACCGCCTTGGGTTACTGCCCCTCATCCCTGGCTCCCTGGCCACATGGTGAGCTCCTCTCCCCCTCCCCTTCCCCCCTCCCGCCCCCCAGCTCACAGTCTACTGAATTGAATGAACTGAAGCCTAAAGTAACTAAATTTCACAAGGTAAAAGCTTAATTCATCCCAACATTTCCACATTTCCATTTGGTCTCCATTCAGTATTTCAACCACAGAGTGGAGCTATTGCAAAAGATAAGGGTAGGCAGAGGCAAGCTTTTGAAATTTCTTTTAGGAGTGAACTGCAAAGCCTTTCCAATGCTAGCTCTGGTTCCTGCTCTCACAAACCACTTTCGGGACTCAGGGCCTTATCCTCAGATGCAGCAGGGAGAAAAAGAAAGCAACCTAAAAATATAGTCAACAGATGGTCAACCAAGGTGGTGAGCAGGGAGTCAGCTTGGAGAGCAGTGATGACCCAGCTAATCAAAAAAAGACCTAGTTCTGGAAGGACTTCCCTGCCCAGTCTGTCCCTGAACTCTACAGTCTACTTTCTGCTTCTGCTCTTTGCCTCAGCTGTCTATGCCATGAGATCTTCCTCAATTAAAATTTAAAAAAGGGATGTGCTTAGAAAGCAGAACTTTCTGCCATTCCCAAATGACTCTATAGTACATACAACCTTCTTTTATTCTGTCTTTGAAAAATATGCCTTTCCATACCTTTTCCCCAGCCACTGTCTTCTTCTATCACTTTGCCAATCTTTTGGAAGTCTGAAGGAAGACTGGAAGTTGGGTCTGTGGGGGACTGAGTCTCTTTAGAAGGGAGAAAGGATAACCTTTGGCTCTGAAGTAGCAGGAAAGCAACTGAGGAAAACCCAGGTGGTTTGTTCTAAGGGGAACTCGCCCAGAAAGAAAGGATCAGTGGCTCTCCATTTGGGAGAGAGTGAGCAAAGTGAATCTTCACCCTCAGCTAATCTATTCCTCACTCTTCCTCTCTCCTTTCTTCAACCCCTCCCTTGTCAGCCCTCCCCCCCCCTCCTCCAGGCACTGCACATATTTGGCAAGATTAAGGTGTTACCTCTCATATTACAAGGCTTGCTGATTGCATGCAAGGACAGACCCACCAGCTCAGGACAAACTTCTCCGAGTTGGGAAACAATACAAACTCTTCCAGGCATCACCTACAGCCTGGCAGGGGCTGGAGGCCCGCAGTGCTAGGCTTCTGCAGAACACATCCTGGCGTTAACTCCTTGTGGCCTGCTCTTCTTTCTTTCTTCTGATTTTTCAAATTTAAGTTTGCCCCCTCCCTCCCCCTCCTACCACCAGACTGCCAGTAACCGAGTTGCTAGAGTTGCTAAACCGCCTGCGCGCGGTTTAACCCATTCTTCCCGGCAGCAGGAGCCCACACCTCTCTCCCGGCAATCCTCGGGGTCCTGGAGGACCCGGAGTTCCAATAAAGAGCGTCCAGAGCTCCCCGGTAGAATGGAAACTAGGACCAGAGTATCTCCTTTGACTGCAGAAGGGAGGGAGGAGGGGGGAGTGCGGACTGGGGCGAAGGGGTGGGGAGAGGAGGGCTGGAGGCGACTTAGTAGAGAGGGAGAAAAGCAGAACTCCGCTCAACACTCCCAGTCCAGACCTTCGTGGTGCTGTGCAGCCGGGCAGAGGGGCCAGCTCGGCAACCTCAACCTCGTCTAGGCCGGAGAAAGACCTGGGCACTTTGGCTCAAGGGGAGGCATTGAAGAAGGACCCCACCTTCCCAGGGAGCACGGAGGGAGGTGCCACCCCAGGGCCTCCGTGGGCGCTGCTGGCCATTTTCTATGTGGCAACCTCCACCCAGGGTAATGATGAGGCAGGTACAATCTATTTTGTATGCAGCCCCCAGACCACACTTTCGCCCTTCCTGCCGCAGCCCCTGAACGCGTAGGGTCCTGCCGAATCTGGTAGGTGCGGCGCTGCCTTTATGACATTCTCCAACAACTCGAAACCATGCTAATGTGTTTAACCCGGTCCTAGCAGCAACACATAATGGGGTGATTATTAGATACCTAGAATGGCAGGATAGAAAGAAGACAAGACATCCATGCATTCCCTTCCTCACCCCAATCGCCATGAGTGAAAATGTCCCGGCTGGGAGACCTGGCCGAATTGAGACCGCAGAAATGAAGCGGAGGGGGCGTGGGGGTGAGGTCTGCTTGGCCACCACCGAGGGAGCGAAACTCTGGTCCAGGGCTCTGGATTTCTCTTTGAAGCCTAAGCAACACCCTCCTCCCAACACATACACAGACACACACACACACACTTTTCTCAATGGCAAGTGGAGGAAAACAAGATGACTTAATTCGGTACCTTTAGAGAGAAAAAGCCCTGAACAAGTGGGGTTCTAGTGGGCAGCTCAAATGACTGGGAAATGAGAGATTTTTGCCCCCCTCCTCTACCCCTCGGCTCAAATAATCTACCGATGGAGAGACGAGCTCCACCGTCTCCCGGCGCTACTAGGTGGGTTGGTCTTTTCTTCTTCCAGCGCAGTCCCAGCATGCTGACTAGCGGCTGGCTGGCGGGTGCTCGGCAGCCAGTTTGAAAGGAAGGGGACTTAGAGAAGTTGGAGTCTGTGCGGAATGGGAGATCCCCAACCATTCCCATTTGCTTTCGTGCGCGCGC